GTTCAGCAGCCCTCCTTGAGTTCCTTTCTAATTTAAACAATTTAAGGTTATCCTACTTTTCAATTTCCTTGATGACAACTGGTTAGAGACAAGCAAAACATTAAAATAATTAATGAATTGCTAGATCATGTTATGCATATTGGTGATACAGATTTGCACAAATTCATGCATGCATCGCATGATTTGAAGCCATTTACAGTTTATCACATTATATGAATCAGTGGCTTCCTGAATTGTATTAATTATTTGATTTGAATTGCAAATAGTGTGATTCTAACAACTAGGAATTTGGGTAAACTACAAGACAGCAAACTGTAACTTTCCATTGGAAAATATCAACTGAGTACAGGAAAAGCATCTGATTTCATCTATGATCTCCTTTATTTCTAGCCTTGTTTCATTTGAAAGTGTTTGGTCACTGATTTATATTATTTACTGTTTGTTTCTCTTCAATTTTCTCATGCTACTGCATGATACAGATTGATGGTTCCTGGAAGGTCAAGAATGAGAACATGGCTACATTGTATAAGGTGGCAAAAGAACTCAAGGATAAATTTTCCTCATTCCAGATCAGTCATGTTCTAAGGGTAGGTATAGTTTACTGAGCTATTATATTTTCTAAATAAGCCAAACCCAATACACACTTGTAAATTATCTAAAAAGAGATAGAAGAAATATTCAGTATAAAATTGATAAAAATGCAAAATGAAGCATAAGAAAACTCATGAATTTCCATAAAGGTAATGCCTTCAGTAACATCTTAAAGGTGTGATTTCCCCCCTTAAAGATTTGTGTGTCACACACAAATAACATGTAGGAATCTGTTCAACCTAAGGGGCCATCCCATTAATTATTTAACACTAAAAAAATTCAACGAAAGAAGGGTAGATTATTCCATCCCTTATGGTACAGAACGTTTGCATTGAATTATATAAATGCAACCTCTCCTTTTCTGATTGAACATGCTCTGCTCACGTCAATTTGTTGATGACTTGATGAGCATTGTTCCCTTGATGCTAATTCTACCGCATAAACAGGCCCACTAAACTTGACCACGTCCTGAAATTAATTTGTTATCTGATTGAAAATTTTGGTTTTCCCTTTTCAGAATCACGTGTTAAACATCCCTTCTTTAATTTGAGATTTTCTGTGGAAGGATATGAGCCTTGCATTTAAATATTATATCTTTACCAGAATAAGATTCCTGAAGTTTTTTTAAGCATTTCTTCAAAATAACTTTCTGTTTACCTTGTGAAGAACTTCAACTCTGATGCTGATGCTCAAGCAAATTTAGCCATCAATCTTGCAGGTGAGGTTTTGAGAATCTTTAATATTTCTTAGCTTTTATATACATGCATCTTATTATTTGTATATGAATGTGTGTATTCGACTATTCTAAGCTTTCTCTGCTTCTACAGATGGCCAAGTCCAGGAAGAGTGTGTAGATTAATTCGTTCATGACAAGGGCTGGTTATGTCTTGGGTTTTTTACAGAACACATCTGCAATTTACAGATTAGTGTCTGCGTTCTTTAATTTACTGGTGACTCAATTATTTAGCAATCAAACCCTAAGAATGAATTATTTTGAATTAGTCCTCTATTGGTTCTGGCTCAGCAGTCATAATAACTTTTTAACATCAGCCTTTTCAAAGTCCATCATAGTAAAAAAACAAAAATTGTTTTGCAATGGAAGATCCCATTAGTACTTATTGAGACTGCAATCACATTAAGTTATAGTTTGTTGTTTTCATTCTTGAGTATATAGAAAACCAGAAACACTTACGAGTCTATAGCCAGCATGATTGATTATGTTCAATTACATTAATATTATCACACAGCTTAGTTGAAAGTGCTGTTTCATTTATTTTTTGGATTTGACTTGTCCTATTTGGACTCGAGCCAGATAAGAACTCTAAGTGGCAAAGTTCTTTATATTGAGTTCCAATGCGGTTGCATTTCAAGACGACCAAGTTAGAATAAGCCTCCTGTCAACCGATCTAATTAAATGGTACTTCGTTTATTGTAAACATTAATATTAATATTCTGTTATGCATAACTCTATTAGCTAATGAAGTTGATGTTCGGTGTCATATTATGGTTATGCATTGATGTGGATCAGCTTATATAGACACCGCGAATAATGCTTTTGAATATTTCTTATCTCCAGGCTTCAAATGGAAATTTTCATACAACTATTATCTATGGACGTTAAATTTTGTTGTTTATTTCTGTCATTATTTCCCATTGAAAACAGGGAGTGAGATCTTTATTAACTTAAGTTGTGAAATAAAATAATGTCACTATTTGTGGCGTGAGGACTAGAAAAAGATCACTAAATGTCAGGTGCAGCTATATATTAACATTTTGTTAGAAAATAAATCCCTAAAATTATGAAAATGGATTCTCTGACTTTATGGAGGAAAAGTTACGATAACTTAATATATTTAAATCGTTAGATTTGTAATAATAGATCAAATTATGACACGTGTACATTTAAGTTAAAATATATTTGTACATGTGTCATAATCTGGTTTATTTTTATAAATCTAACGGTTTAAATACATTAAGTTGTCATAATTTTAATGTTTCAAAGTTAGAGAATCTGAAATTAGCATCTTTATCTCTGTCACAAGTCTCATGTCACAACTATCAATAATGGTTTAGGTGCTACAATGTCATAGGTATTTGCCAAAGAAATAATCTAAGCATTAGTTTAACATTAATTAAATAACAACGTTGAGGAGTTAAAATAGGTTGTACTTGACGCATTGAAAAAAGGTTAGAAAATGAGGCTGACAAAAGATAGAAGGTTCATACCTATCCTATGTAGCAGGATAAGATTATTATTCGATGCCTTAGATTTTCAGATACAGATGAAAACGGTGCAGTGCAGATGAAATTTATAATTTCGGTAACTGTTGCAAATTGCAATCAGTCAATTTTAACATGACTGGCTTATTTGTAAATTTAAGGTCATCGAAGTGTGCCCATCCAGAACCACTTTTTCCAGATCCAATTTGCAAATTTGTACGCAATATTATTTGAGTATCAGCACATTAATAGACTTTGTTTCGTATCTGCCACTGCATGTATGAAGATGCCGTGTTCTGAATGCCTATATGCTGTTATATAAACCTTGATATCATTGAACGTTATACCGTCATACTAAGGCAGTAAAGTGAGTAAACTGATGTTTAACCGATGCTTGACGCTTGTATGCGCAATTCAACTTTATTAGCGTAAAAACTTGGGAAGAAATAGTGCAACAAAAAATTTAAAACAGGGAGGGAAAGAAGTGTCATGTTCCTTTCCTTTGCTTCTAGGCCGCAACATCAAGTTTTTTTTTTAGAAAAAAAAAAGTCTTTCCTTCCCAGCTAGGGTTTGAACACTGAGGTTGAAAGTAAAAGGTACTGGTTAAAAAGTACACAGAATGCTTTAAGCTTCATGCACTTGCAATACGCAAATAGCTATGCTTCCATATGTATTTTTTTCAGCCATTGTTCTATGCATTTTGTTGTCCGTCTTATGCCCAGATTGTTTGACGTTTAGCTTTAGAAAATTAACTTTTACACTTTTCCAATATAATTTCTCTCAACTCTTTCAAAATTCTATCCAATGCTAAACCAAACGGTCACTTACGAGATAGATAACAAAACATCTCATTTAGGTCTCATACAACATAGGCACGACAATTATGACAGGACTAGTTAACATAGAGGAGTTACCCTATTATTAGTTGTTATCACCACTACCACTAGTCCATCCTCTCCAGTCTTTGTCGACATGATCTTTGGCCCAATTGATAGCAGCACGTGCAGCTTGTGGCCCACCAGGCAATCCTCGTTCATTTATGGCATCAGCCATGTCAACAAAAGGAAGGACCAAGAGCGTACCAGGACCTCCATACTCCGAGTGCAAGAAAGTGCTAAAAATCTGTTCAATTCAACATATAATCACAATTCACAGCAGGTTAAATATGGACAGTAATATTTCATCAGCCAACACAAATCAAAATATAGCAATGGCGTACCAAGAAAATCCACACAGAATAAACTACCTTGATGAATCAAATATTGAACAGATTCATCATTTTATGCCAACAAAAGGTTCTAGCTGCATCTAGTTAGCATTTGAGACGTTGTGCAAGACAAATATAAGTTGACAAACATTCAAGCAATATGAAAGACATTCTAAACGAACCTTTCAAATCCAATAACTAAAATATGGAAATATTGATATCATAGACAGATAAAATCCCATTTTCTTCCTTATTCTCTTTTCCTGGTTGTTGAAAAGTCCTTATATAGTTAACTTCCTAGTTTGGTACACTTACACAGGAATTTAACTCAGTTGGCAAATTTCATACTCTAATAATGTCAACGGATGAAATAAGTGCAACCTGCAAAGTTTTGCAAACCACACTACAGCACAACCAACCCTATTCTATTTTCCATCTCATAATATTAGATATAAAGCCTCGGGAGCTCTTCTATTGTAAGACAAAAACTATCACAAGTTTCTGCAACAGACAAAAAAAATCTCTTCCAAACATAGTTATCAATATCAGATAATAGCACATAGCGCCCAGCCTAAAAAATGATAGAAAATTATAGCACATAGCAAGATGGTCACTATTTTTTATATACAGATTGAATAATTTCCACCATATACCTATAAATGCTATAAAAAAAAACTTTTAAAAAATACTCAAAATCATGACATTCATATTTAACAATGAAAGGTCATGGTCATGGGTTTTAAGCAAAACATACAAAAAAATAACAACACTCTAAGAAACAAACAAATTCAGAAGACATATTCATATTTCAAATACAAGAGTCAAGAGACATCATAAAAACTCAATAAAAAAGTGAGGGTGGGTGTAGCACAGAGAAGAGAACAGGAGGGGTTGAGGGTTCAGATTTAGATGTAGGAATCTACATCCAATTAGGGATTTGTTAATTCAAAAAAAGAGGGAAGGAGATCTCAAATTTGCCCCTACCCCCACCCCAAAACGATGCTGTTTTTCAGGGCAAAAATGAGTTTACGAAAAGCCTCACTCTAGTGTTGTTGTTGTTGTTGCCACAATTGTGGCTGCTACAACTGCTATTCGAAACGCACAAATATTCAAACTTTGTAGCGGCCCATGGTCACTAGCACGCTAGTGATAACTACGCTTCCAAATTCAATAAAGTCTAAGACCTTGCTTCATATGCAGAGGGACATGTTAAAGGATACGTGTGGATAAACTTCTTTATAAGTAATTTTAGAAAGAAAAAAAAAATGAAAAATCCATATAAGTTTATTCATTTTAGCTTAATTTAAAAATAAGAAACTAATAGGAGAGATTATCGACAAATTATCTTAAAGAGAAGCTTGTTAAATTTATTTTCCCTATTTTTCTCTAAGTTTATTAAAACAGAACGTTCTAACCTGAAGGTTACTGTAGTTTTTAAAACTCTGAGATTACCAAATGGAAACAAAATTTATAATTGAACTGAACAAACAAAAAACCAAGTAAGAAACTAAATTAGGTAAAGAAATGGGTAGGGGCAGAAGGCAACGAACCTCAGTGCAAAGTCCTACAACCTCTTCAACCGATTCCCCATACATATCTTTCTTCGAAAGCTTTTTGAGAAGGTGGTTTCTGAATTTCTCCGTCTCCTGCGAGAGAAATTGAGAAATGGAGTTAATTTATGAATTAATGAAGAGAAACCAAAAATGGAAGAGAGAACTGACAGCATCTGCAAATTCGGGAATTGGGTCTGGGAATTTGTACTCTGCAGCTCTTGTAATGGTGGATGAAAATCGTAAAGTTGGCAACTTTTTTGGGTTCACAGAAGGAAAGGAGAAGCGTTGTTTACATGTGATTGAGCGGGTTTGCAGAGAAGGAAGTGAAGGAAGTGAAGAAGAAGAAATGGCGAAGGATGCAAGCGATGTTGAAGAATTCATACTCCAAATGCTTCCTTCTTCTTTATCTCTTGCTAAGCTCAAATATCCCACTCAACACCTAAGCCCAAAACATGTTCTTGGGTTCATCTTATATCTTGTATATAATAATAATAATATATTAATAACCACCCTATTAAATGTATAATCTTCAAATTTTGTATAGATGATTTTTGTTCATTTATAAAAATATACGTGAGTGGGAGTTGAGGTTGTCCTCCTTAGTTCTTCCAACCCAACTCATTTAAATTTTAAAGTTAGTAAAAAAATATACATATATAAATATTTACTAAAATTGTATACATGAAGATAAAAGGGAGAGGATTGTAATAAGTTTAATTATTCTTAAAACTTTTATAACTTTACATCTTATAATCGATAGCTAAAAATGTTTTATCTTAATTTTGAAATAAATTATTTTTTATTAGTTTTTTCCATTTATTTTATAAAAATTAAAAGGTATAATTTATAAAATTAAATAATAATAAAATTTAAATAAAATATTTTTAATCATAAAGATCAAAAAAATTAAATTAATAAAAACTAAAGGAACCAGCCAGATAATTAAATATTTTAATATAAGCGAAGGACATAGGTGGAGTGAATTAGGCATAGGATATAATCACAAAGGAATTAAATTAAAACACGTGTTACATTTTTTAAGTAGTAACATGATTATTTGAAAAAACATGATTATTAAATAATATTTAAATACTTAAAATTGGAACGGATTGAACTATTAAGAACATTGGATATTTGGATCACATTTTAATATTTCAACTGCGATTAAATCAATAGTAATTATATTTATAATTTTAATATTGTATAATATTTTAACAATAAAATAGCATAAAAATATAAGAAAATTGAGATATAAAAAGTATAAATTAATATTAATGACTGAATTATACATTTCATAAAAAAAATTAATAATTGATAAAACAGTTTATATTTATGTGTAATCCTTAAATATGCATTTTTATTTATCTTAAAAATATCTTAAATTAAATTAAAGTTAAGAAAAAACTTAATTTTAATTCATTAAGTATAATAATTGTACGATTTGATCTTTCGAATTTCAATTAAACAATTTTAGTTTTTTAAGTATTTTAAGACATTGATGTGTCAATAATATGATATAATAATTTGTCATAAAAAATTAGAGAAAAAATTGTAATAAGTATCATTTGTATGGGGAAAATTTCAATTAATTGACCAATCCAAATAATATGGGAGTCATAGAAAAAAAATGAGTCTATTTATAAGAGAAGATAAGATCATATGAAAAATGCAACCGATTCTTTTTCTTGTTTGGACTATTGGTCATCCGCCAAAAGTTTCAAGTTTAATACCAATATTTTAGCAACAAATCCAATAAATTTAAGTGTAGTGTTAGGTGTATTATTTTTTTTGAAAGGGACTCGTGAACTTAACTGATACAAAGTTATATGATAGTATCCAATTTTTCAATTCAACAGACTGATCTATGTTATGATTTATATTCATGGACGTTGATAAGATCCTTCTATCTAACAATATCTTAAGATGAAATAGCCTTAAAATTAAGGGCGAGGTTCAAACAAAGAAAGACTTATGGTGGATACTTAAACACCCAGAGACAACGAAGGGCATAATAAGCAATAAAATGCTTCGAGGAATTAAAAATAAATGTAGATCCAATGGCATAATATCTACAATTAAAGGTAATTTCACAAAAAAAAAAACTACTTAAATAACGTACAGAGTAAATACAAATGCATACCAAACTAAAGATATTAAACATAACAAACATTTTATTCTTTATGAAAATAAAATTTATTTTTCTCATTAGAATTTTCATTTTTTTAATTATTTTTTAGTCAAAGAAAAAAATTATGAAAAAAAAAATGAAAACACACGTGATGAAAGTATTAAAAGAATAATAAAAGAATGTATTATGATACATATATTTATTTCTTTTAGAAATGAAAGATGAAATGAAATAAATTTATTTATTTAATTCAACATATATGACTAATTATATAATATATATATATATATATATATAAATAAATATTTTAGCTTAACGATAATCACTAGAATTCCTATATACTTAATATAATCATATAGGAAATCTAGTGATTATATACAATGTTTATAATAATATAAATAAGAAATAATAAAAAATAATAATAATATTCATTTTATAAGGTATAAATAGTAAATCAAGGTATTCAGATAAATTTTCCTTCCACTTTTATTTTTTTAGTGGGCCTAATTCTTTTTGACAATTGTAATGACTTTTATTTTTTTATATTCAAAAAATAAGATTTCTTTTAGATACGATAAGTAAAAACAAATTTCATATACATTTTTAGAATTGCTTCATATACATTTTTAGATTTAGAAGCAATTCGATAAATTTCTTCTAAAATTTTATATTAAAATAATGTCAAATTACTTTAAAAACAAAGAAAGCAAAAGTTTAGTTTAATTTCAATACTGAGATTAGACCAGTAACATGTTATATCAGGAGTTGAATCTTCACTATTATCTCAAACAACACCATTTAACCACCAAACTAATAATTTTTTTTCTTCTAATAAATGAATGCGTTATAATATATGTACCTTCGGTAAGAATCAAAATTGCATTCATTTACTACTATTAAATTATATATATATATATATATATATATATATATATATATTAGTTTTAATAATATAATTGATAAAATACTAATAATATTAATTATTAAGATTAACAGTACTATTACTATATTAATAAATAAGTTAATCATTTAAAAATATTTATTTACTTACCATTTTTATAAATGTTTATATCTTTTGTTGTTTTATAGTCGTTTTCTGATTGTCTTTTATCGTGAAAAATCTCACCGTTTCTGGGTTTAAAGTTCTTGTTGAATTCTATGGATGGGGCTTGGGTGATTTTCGCGGTTTAGTTCTTAAAAATAGTGCAATTGCAATCACATGCCTCAAGTATTTCTGTTCATTAATCACCAACAACAACTACAATGGACTAGGACGAAACCATATTAGTTGAGACGAGATAGATAAGAAAATTGACAGCTTTGGATCTGGAGATGCTTTTATATGGAAAATGGAAGAAATTTTTATCGTTTTATAAAATTTCCATACTTTGGCATAAGAACAAGGATGAGATGCAGAAATAGAATCCTATTTGTACGTTTTGAGGATTATTATATCTATAACTCGCAGAGAGAAACTAACAATTGCATTTAGAACAACCGAGTCTTATTTTAGAATTATACTATACTTAATGGAAAATGTTTATAGAGATTATTCCACTTTTCATTACTACAGTTCATGGCCAGCAACATACAGGAGAATAGGCAACAATCTTTTAAAAGCTTTTCTGGGTCAAAATAAAAAATCCGTTGATGAATATATGTCTCCTCATAATACTCTCTTCTTACAACCTATATTAGTCGATTGGAAATTTAATATTTACATCAGTTTATATAATTGTGAATATATTTAACAAGTTCATCTAGATAAAAGAATATAAGACAGACAGCATTTAAGATTTGCGAGTCACATTTTTCTTCGATGCAAATACAAGCTACATTCAATTTAAAAGGCCATAATTCAGGAAACTGACAACATTAAGATTTAAGAATAAACTAAACTTGATATCTCTTGAACTAATTTTTCAAGCTCCATAACAACTAAAGCTCAAGCATCCACAAACTAAAGAAAATGTTACAATCTCTAATTAAGGTCACACAACCATCTGTTTCCTGAATCAGATAACACGGTACAACAAACTGTCAAATGCTATATGTACTGTGTGATCGATTTGTAATCCAGATGGCAACTCTTAATCTTCTTCTCTTTCCGGAGGCAAACCACAAGGCAGGAGCATTTTCTGCACAAAACAGAACTTGTCAAATAAGGAATAAGTGATGAGTTCAAAACAATGACAAAAAGAAAAAGTTAACGGGGCAAGAAAAATTCAGACTTCCGAATAGGTTTGTGCAATAACTACGCTTCGTATAATAGTATATTCTCACTAATTTCCTGGCAAACTTCAAGTCAAATGACAAAAATGCTACATGGTAAGGACAAGTAAATATAGTAAACGGAGAGAATTAGCATTTGTTAGGGAGCTGAGAAAAAGGAAAGGAATCACAAAAAAATGATTGGGATCAGGTCTTGCTTTTGGGAGAATTCTTCGGTTAGGGATAATCAATTACTAGCTATCTTCCACTCTCTACATCCTTCTCTCTATAATTCAAGGTATCTTCCACTCCAAGTTCCTAATACATCCAGAGAGTTTGGAGCAATTTCTCATATGTAACTTCTGGTTTAGGGAGAAATAAAGGAGGCAAATCCTTTTGTATGTGTATGGCATATGCTATAGTCTGGTTCTCATGGTTAGAAGGTAATTCCAAAAATTGTTGATACAGATTTTAGCCGCTGCCTCCCATTAGATATAGTGAATAACTGATTTTCTTGGCCTCTTTATGGTGCTCAGCTATCGGCTAATTCAAAGCAGTTTCTTTGTCAGAAATGCAAAGAGATTAGCTACCTTAGTTTAGCTGATGAACATCCCTTTCCTCCTAATAATCCCAAACTTATTTGAAGAGCAGGACATGTCTCCAATCCCTAAACCCATACATGTGTCAGACACTATTTTTTTGCATGACCTATATTATATACATATGGCATCCTCATGCACTATATTTTGGACATTAGCCATGTCAGAGTATCCCAGTGTGACAGTCCATGCTTCATAGCCCTCAAACTTGAAACTACCCACCTCTCCCTTTTCTTATCGTTCAAAAACAAGCGAAAAAAATGGCAGCAGTTAACACCACTTCATCAGCAAACAATTCCAAGTACAAGTAATTTTACTTTCATATCAAAATCCCCATGGACAACCTGTTAAGCCAAATAATATTTCACATTTCATTAGGTCTTTACTCCAGGGTGAAATTCAAGCGAGACCCACTACACTAACACTAGTATAGGTTCCCAGTCCTGCTCCCTCATTAACTCTCACCCAATATAGTACAAGGCTGAAAAGAGTGTACTGCTAGCATTTATCTTTTACTAAAATGACACTGAAACAAACTAATGGATATAGATAAAGACCTAATTTTATATTCAAAAAATAGAAGACAAGACAATCAACAAGCCAAATGGCAGCAAAATAGACCTAAGTATACAAATAAAAATGAAAGGATGTCCATAAGGTCAGTGAACAATAGAGAGAGAGAAAGATAACCTGCATAAAGCTATAACGTTCTCTGCCAATAGATTCATTTTCAGCGATAGCAAAGTATCCCAGTAAAGGGTAGTGGCCAATATACGATGCATAGCTATCACGTTGAATGTTCACTGCCCACTCACTGCACACACACACAGACACCATAAAGAGAATAACAGTTAACAAACATTAAACAAAAATTGAACATGAAAAATGAGGAAATTTAAAATTAAAGGAATTAGAGAGAGAGAGAGAGAGAGAGGCTCACAATCTGTTCAAATCGGCATGGCCAGTTCCAACATATTTGGCTTGGAGATGCTCAAGTTGGGAATTGATGTTAAACCTATCACTGGCCTGCATAAAACGCAAAAATGAGTTAAATTTAAGAACCTTAACCCTAATTGACATTGACATAGGTGACAGAGAGATGGAAAAATGAAAAATTAAGAGAATGAAAGAATGAAGAGAGTGTTTGGAAGAAAAAGGGTACCTGCATGGTGGGCGTTGCTCAGAAAGCAGAGGCTGTGTGTGAATCGCGAGTTGAGTGTTGAGACGCTATGAACCTCTGCACCGTTCCAATCACAAATATCTCAGCACGGAACAGCTACATATACAAATAAAATTAGGTTTAATACATATCATTTTTATGTAACCTTTAAATTATTCAAATTTATTAGGTCAATGTGTTACCCATTAAATTAAGGTTAAATCAATTCAAATGTAACTTGGAGAAATTTTAACTAAATTTGACAAGTAAATTTATAAAATAAAATTGGCACAAAGTAAATTTATAAATTTTAAAAACCATAAACAAATCTTTATAATTTCAAAAACTTATTAATTGGATCTTAATTTTACTTATATATTTATTAAGTGAGTTGATTAGAATTTGGGATAAAAGAAAGTTCAAACTTTTTTTTCAACACTAAGGATCAAAGCAAATCAATCAATAATGGATTAGTTTTGTTTGAATTGATCGATTTTCTTGTAGAAAAAGAAATGTTTGATTTCTATTTTTTAAAGCATAAAAAATATATTATTTTATCCTAAAAATTAATTATAAATATATTATTAAAATAGTGTAAAGAAATTTGAATGTAAATAAAAGAGTAATATAGAAAAATATGAAATTAAAGTAATCTAACATTTAAAATTAAGGAAACCTCTTAAATATAAACTAAATTGTTGGGTTTGTTGTGTAATTAGTCTAATGTTAATGTGTTGCTGATTATTAATAAAAGAAATTATGAAATAATAAAAATTTAATTAGTCCAACCCTCCTCAAATCATTATATTTACAAAACACAAATCCGTTATATAAAACAATTAAGGCCGAATTTATTTTGTTTGGGTCGGATTTGATCTAAACAAGAGAAAAAATTATAAAGATATATTTATAATTAAGATAAATAAGTTTTTATTCCCTTAATTTTTTAAGAATTGAATTATTAGTTCTTGTTAAATTTTTAATCTTTTACTAATTTTTTATCATATTAATTATTTTTTTGAGGTTAAATTTTTTTTAAGTAAAATGTGTGCTAATAAATAATAACTAATTATTAATGTTCATGTGGTTGTTAATTAGATGTCAAATCATATGATGCAAATAATTTTTTTATTCAGCTAAATTATATTATAAATTACATGTATCATATGATTTAACATCTAATTCATTATCATGCAAATATCAATTGTCAGTCATTACTTATTAACACATATCGTTACTTAACAAATAAAATTTAATTTCAAAAACTAATTTATATGACAAAAATAATGGAAAGTTAAAAGACAACAAAAAATTAACAAATACCAAAAATTGAATTCTTAAAATGTTAATGGACTAAAACCTTATATAACTGTTTATAATTTTTAGGTTAACTTACATTTTTAGTCTTTCTACAGTATCTAATCCATAATTTTGATCCTCAATTTTTAATTTTGTAATTTTAGTTTTATAATATTATAAAATCCATAATTTTAATCTTTTTTTTGAATATTCAATTAATCTAATAATCATTAATTGATCTTCTAATTTGTTGGGATGCAAGCAAAGTCCCACATCATTCAAATAAGAGGATGGACATGGATTTATATACACATAATTGTCTCCATTATAAGAAAGGTCTTTTAGATGATATTTAAAAGTAAAACCGTGAGAGCTGGTCAGAATATATGCTCCAAATGTAATATGTTGGTTGAAACAACAAAGCATATATATTTCAATATGCAAATGTTTGGTCGGAGAAACTGGTTTAGTGGAGAATTCAGACACACCACTACATGGTGAGAAGTAGAAATCTGCTGGTGTTCTCAAGAAAAAATCTTGCTGAGGCTGATATGGTTGAGATGGTAAAAATACTGTCATGGCAGTGGATAGCTAGTTTAGAAAGATTTAGTTATTCTTTAGCATGTTGGTTTAATGATCCACACACAAGTCTAGCTGAATATGGATCTGTTTTGTGGCTTTTGGAGAGAAATTTAACAGTCATAGCATGTAGAAAAGTACTTAAATGAAAGATTCCATGTATCATCAGGCACTGTCTTTGGGTGAAAAAAAGGTAGTGTTTAGTTGTATATGGTGTATGAATTGCTAGTGCGTATGGTGGATAGACTCCTATCACAACTACTACTGCGTCTTAAGGGTTACAAGAAATAGTTTTTTATAATGTTCTCAAGGTGCACAAAAAGAGGTTAGAATAAGGAAAAAAGGAAGATATTTTTTAAAATGCTAGACAGATTTAGAATTCTCTATTTCTGTAGCATGTATTTGGATCAGTTGAAGTTATACATTTTATATGTATGGTAAGCTTATGAATCTGCATGGGTATGATTAGACTAGATGCTAAAACTAGCATTTTATGTTCTGTTAGCTGTTGTTATAATACAATAATGATTCTTGAATTTTCTGTTTGGTTTGTCACACCTCGTGTCTTGCCAAGTTCCGGTAGTTATATATGTTTTGCCTTTTCAAAAATAAAATTATTAAAATTGTAAAAATTGTAAAGTTGATCATTAAGTAGACATGATAATTAATATTTAAATTAAATTTTCACTTCTACATGAGTTTTGGTTGGAGGAAAATAAAAGAGATGAAATAATTTTTATTTTATTTATTTGTTGTTTAATTTAAATTTTAGGAAAGAAGAGGAGACAAAGATGAGGAAAATCCATTTTCATGTCATCTATGTAACGTCAATTCATAATCAATAACTAACGTTACGATTTCAAAAATTAACAGTTAAATATATCTAAGGAGTAAATAAAAATTGTGAAATTTTACAAAATTAGAAACTAAAATTGAGAAATTAAAAATTAGAGAACCAAAATTGCCTATTAAGTATTATAAGAGATTAAAAATACAATGTAGCCTAATTTTTAAAGCTACAAGAAGCCCATAACCTTAATGCAATATCGATTTTACGTCTGTTTTATTGAAGAACTCGCCTACAAAGATATTCTCTACAATCAACTTCAACAATTAACTTCTATCGAATATAAAATTTCCATTTATAGATTTGTTTCCCAAGTTCCATGACTTGATTGTGTGTCTCCTACAGGTAATCCCAGACTCTGACATAAGGACTACACCTCTAAAACATTGTCAGGCATTTTACATCCCTAGAGTGTGACATTCTTAGATAAGGTATGATGTATCAATATGAAAGGAGTGTATATAATTTTCAATTCATTGCAACAGTGAAGCTTTCCAATAAAATCGTGGTTGGTCTAAATGTATGCATGACCTCAAAAATCAGTGGCCTCTCTGCTAGCTAATATTGCCCACGGTCAATTGCTAAAGTATTAATTCCAAACTGCCACTTTAGACCAAACAATTCAGTGGCCTACCTCATTTTGAGATCATATGGAGCATTTTATTCAACCATATAAGAAAAAAAAAATCAACAACTTATATGCTTTTAGATCAAAATGCTAGTGTTGTGGGTGGACAACTATCAACAGTGCAAGCCAAGATGTCCCTGTACTCCCTGGATATTCTGAAAGAGTCATAAACTTGTCCATCACTGCTTTTCTTGTACTCAAACAATAAGTTTGAATGATCAAATGCTGTAAGCTTGACAAATCCATAGTCATGGTCTTTAAATATACTCCATGTAGTGTTTACTTGCGCAAAATCAGCAAGGGATGCTCCTCCTCCCCCAGCCACTACATGTATTGTCCCATTCAAGGAGCCCTTGTAATTGTGCTTCTCTTTGTTGGTGCAAATATTCTGAGAGAGTAGGGAAAATGGTAGTTAATATGTTAAATAAGAGGAAATATCTAGATAATTTAATCACTTTGATTCTTGATGAGGAAAAAAACTGACAGCTAGAAAGCACAGGTATGATATGACATGAATACAGGAATGTGATAATTTAAAAAATTATAGGACTTAGGAGATGACACAACTACAATACTGTGTATAAAATTAATCTTGAATTAATAAAAAATCTTAAATCACGAGAGGCTTCATGTTTAAAAACGTGCCAAGTTATGATAGACATAAAATGCTACAATTTATCTAATTATTGTGGGATTGCAATTTATATTGGTATAAAGTTCAAGCACTAAGTATTCAAAGGTAACAAGTAAAAAGTATCTTAATAATGTAATGGCCTTAATCTAATGTATGTTCTTGATGACCAACTTGATAGTCAGTAAACTGGCCAAAAAAGAAAAGGAAAAGATGAGTTGTACACTTTGAAATGGAGAAAGGCTATTTGCCTATTTTCAAGCCAGCCATAGAATGTATTACGTCGAGCCAACAGCGGGGAAGTAAAGGAACAAAGTAAAAACTGTCTATCTCTGAAGTTAGGGAAATACCTGATACACCGGGCATGTCCTTTCATAGTTATGGACATGTCCATATATTCCTATATCAACCTTATACTTTTGCCAGAGAATTTGAAGGTCCTCCCTTCCCATTGGTTCTTCAAAAGAGCCTTCTGCCACATAGAACCCTGCAGATGAATAACCAAGTACCCTATGGGCAAGAAATATCAGCCACGGCTGTTTTTGTCTGTCGACCGATGCTAGGCAATTTTCAATGAATGTATACTGTTCTGATCCTTTTCTCCAATCAAGTTCTGTGTGAGCTATGCAGAATCTGAACATACCGTAGTCAACTTTGTACCTGGCAAAGTATAGTAATATTTGAATATCTTTCCAGGGTAAACATCATTAACATTTGGTTGGTAGGTATACTCAAGAAACTAGAAAATTTTACTACATCTATCCATCAGTGTTATAAAAGTGAATTCACTAAACAACACCATTGTTGAGTATATTCTGCAAAATGTTGAAATTATAGGGATATTGCACCAGAATTTTTCCCGGTTCTCAGCTGGAACATAAAACATGGTTTGAGCCGGTACACCACATTCTCCACCAGAATCCAAGTTTCCATAAAATGATCCAGTCCCTGGCCAGTCACGTTCATGATTGCCACTGAAAGCACATAATGTAAAAGCAGAAAATGAGATAATGAAGAGTCGCAGTAAGCATACAAAAATGTAACACATGGTTAACGTGGCAAACCTTGCTGTCATATAAGGTACAGTTGATGCAATTGGCTCAATTTGTGCAGTAAACTGGTCCCACTGTGACATGTATCCATTAGCATAGCATATATCACCAATGTGGAAGACTATATCTATATCTTTTAAGTCTTGAATGATCTGTTTAGTAGTGTTGAGTGATCCAGGCTGGAAATTGTTATATTCATTGGAGCCATCAGCTTCTGCCTGCTCGTGTAATAAGAAAATGAAAAGTAGTTACCAATAAATTCAATCACAGGCAAGAATACCCGACATATTTTTGGGTATAACATGTAGATGAAAAATATAAACTTCCATTGAAATAACAGAAAGAACCAAAACAAGAGAGTAAATATAATCAGAAAAACCCATGTATGAAATAGAAGAGAAAGAAGTAACAAAGCGATCAAATCAACCAGATCAATATTTCACATATATGTTATTATTTATACATTTATACAACTTTTATCTCCAGATTCCAGAACATGGAGTAAAAGTAAAAAGAAAGAAAATTACCTTTCCCATATCACCAAATATGACTACACGTTGTAAGGAATTTTGACCAGGAAAAGGAGGTGCTTTGAACTGGTATTGTTGACTCCAAATTATTGTACCATTAAATAATATATGCCCCAGCTTGTATATGTATCTGCAGGTAGGAAAAAAGACATTGCAAGTTACGGTTCGTGCACAATGAACTGCTGCTAATAAACCTCAATATGTTCCTTCAAGCCACAAATCAATATTTGATTCACAAGTACAAAGTAATATAAGTCATGTAGAAAAAAATCCTTTTAATAAAATCATATTCAAATTTCTTGGTTTCTTGATTGTGGTGATGATTCCACTTCAACCAATCAGAACAAGGAAGTACAAATCAGTATCGCACCTGATTTTTTATAATAATATAAGTCATGTAGGAAAATAGATATATATTTGGTGATCTTTTCTAATAAAATCACATAAAAATCTCTTGTTACTTGATAGTGGTGATCTTTATGAAAATTTCCCGCTGCTAATCCTTCCCAATTCCACTTCAATCAATAAGAAGTTCCAACATCGAACTCAATGAAGTTATCCATCAACTTATATCTCTGTTTACCACTACGATGTCCTGATACACTACAGGGTTAGCACCCATAATTACTTTGCTGTCAAGTCTACCATTTAGAGGAAATTCCGAACATCAAAATTTCAAGATATAATATTCATGCTTTTACTCGTCAGAATGTAATTCTGTTTACTTTTCTAATGTTCAATATATTAGAGGGTTAGTACTCATCAGTACTTTTATAGTTAAAAAAATAGATTTCAGTAAATTTATGCATCTTACATGATGTTCTACACAAATTGTGAAAATCAATGAGATTTTATCAGGGATCATGTCTAGTAACATTGTGATTGGAAGGTGCCCTCGAACTCAAGCATGCTTTACTAAATGTAAGGTAGTAAAGTGGCAACATGTGCATAAGCTAAGTGTTGCAGTGAATGAGTAGACATAAGAGAAAAGATAAGAAATGAATGTTTTACACAAGTTGAAGTAGCAACTATTAAGAAATAGATCACGAAATCTTGCTAGATGGTTTGGTCATATCAGAAGACTAATAGAGGCCCAAATAAGAGGAGTTAATGATATGGAGGACAGACTGGTAAACAGAGGTAGACAAAAACAAAAGAAAAAAAAATTAAGAGAGACCATTGAAAAATATCTTCATAAAAATGGCTTTTCTTGACAATAGGTTTTTGACAGAACATGGTGGCAATTTTTTATCCATGTAGACTCCACATAGTGGAGAAAGACTTCTCTTGTTGTATCATATGTTAGATTAGTTTAGAGAAATATTGTATTCGATTGAAAAATGTTAGAATAGTGGATTAAGCCTAACTCAACCCTACAAAACCGGCTTGTAAGGTAAGGGTTGCTTTCCACTTATATACTATTCAATTGCCTAATCTCTAGTCGATGTGGGACTTGGGTTTTTCCCAATACACCCCCTCACGTCCAGCACTATTGGGCTTGGTACGTGGATAAATGGTAGGTGGCCCTTTTTAATGATCTAGGATAGGCGGGACTTGAGTTTTTCCCAATAAAAAATATTATTTATCAAGTAATCAAGATGCTTTCGGTTCTTTTTTCCTGCACAAGTTTATATTAGTCCTTTTGTCATGCAAACAAATATTCGACTATTTTGGCTTTTTGTTTTAATTAAAAACTGGAATAGCAAATTAATCACATCAGTTCTCAAACAAGCAGTTTCACGATGAAGCTCATATAAGATACAACATACTCTCGGTTGGGCCACAACTCCTTCAAAAAACTAGTGTGTATGAATCCTGGGTCACGCCATCCAACAGTCCTCGCTGGTGCACCTACATATGTAGATTAATAAGAAAATAGATGTTTTCAATTCCACTCCATCCCCTTTGTGAATGAAATTTGCAGTTATCCACCCACATTATACAGATGCAAAAACTATCAACGCAATAAACATGATTATCCATCCCAAAAGCAACTTTTAAGAGATAATAGAAGAGTTGCATACCACACATGGTGTTGTGATCAAAAGTCAGTGTTCCAGCAGGAGATTTCACAAGGTTCCCTCCTTTAGGGCCCCATTCAACAAAAGGTTCGGCTTCACTGATTCCATATCCACTTGTCCATGTTACAGTCATCTGTTAAAAGTTTGAAGAAAAGAAATTTTTCATAATACTAGACAGTCTTAATCCACATATATAGACATGCATTTACTAATAGATATCATTCACAAGAAAGATTTCAAGTTGCAATAAGAAAAAGCACCTAATCATGAGAATAATATCCAAAGCCGGAAAAAAATGCAGTTCTGAGATTACAGTATAAGGAAGCTTAAACTTACTTCATCCCATGTTTTCCCTTGTGCTAGACGGGGATATACTGGTGCATTTGGATTGATGAATGATACTTTATTTGACATTGCAACAAGCTTTGGCTGTGAAGAGCAATTTGAAAAGAAAAAGGAAGAAATGGAAAGATAAAGTTCAGCTCAAAATCAGACTCAAACATTATACACACAGTTAATAAAGTAAAATAGAGTTACGAATGTAAACAGGACAAAACAATCAACTAACCTAACACTATTGCGGTGGGACATGGAGTACATGGGAACAAATACCTAAATAGAAGTTGCCATAGAAATCTAAAAAGTGTATGCATGCTGATACAAATATCTTTTCATGGGGAGGGAGAGGGTGGGAGAGAGTTAAGGCAGTTTTACAGTGAAAGAGTAGAGATGTGGAACCTTCTCAGTGTTATGAAAGAAAGATGGTGCTGTCTATGAGGTGCTAGAAGAAATAGAAGATGAACAATAAGAAGGTACGAGTATGAGGATTGAGACATTAGCCTTGAATGCCTTCCAAAGAAAATATTTTTCAAAAGGAACTATATGATTAATAAAGTTCCAAATTGTTTAGTTGACTAACGATGGCATTCATTAACAAATATTGATTATCATGGCAGACTTTCAAGATGAAATTCCCACAAAATCAATTTGGAAAATAAAGTTTGTGATAGGACCCTTGGGAGAACCACACCACAAAAGTTAGTTGTTATAGTTGGAGAGCCCAAGGCCATATAAACTCCACACTAGAACCTTGTATTTGTATTGTAGGATTTGAGTCCCATACTTTGCAATTGGATCCTAACAGTTTGCAAGACCAAAAAGCAAACTGATAACAGTTTCCATGATTTGGAAAAATCTTTACAATCATAATATATCAATTAATTCGACAAACATAAAGATTATACATAGGGTACAGTTTATGAGCATACATTTGTCAAGCCACCAGTGAAAAGCGCAAATGCGAAGTCAGATCTCTGATTAATCAACTGAAGCTTCAAGGAGCCTGTGCCTGTGTTCTTGTAACCAAGACTAGAGAAATTGGCATATTGATACTGAAATTAGAAACAGAAAAAGGGAAGAGTTTAACATCAAATCATTTCATCTTTCAAGCTTTATTTCTTAGCTAAGGGTTTTGTGCCACGCGAACCTTGATAGGCGCAGAACACAGCAATGGGGGAGTCACCCATGTGTTTTCTGCAGGGCAGGCAGAAGCACTGGAAAATGTGAAACATTTGATTCCCAATCAATGAAACAAGATTATTGATTTGTAATTTACGATTATATACGTGTTTAGAGACAAGCTTAAAAGTGTTTCTTAGAGTTTTTGTACCGGAAACAGTTAGTAAAAAAACTCTCAAAAAATACTTCCAAGTTTGTATCCAACCAAACTATATACAAGAATAAGATCATGATGTGAAGCTTACTTGAAAAATGCAGGAGAAAACACTCCAATCCAGTCATCTATTGTGGGTTTTGGATTACTATATTGCACTGTGACCCATTCTGTATTTTGTCCCTACAACATTGGCAAGCAGGAGCCATCAATTTCTGCTACCAAAACTTCTTTTCATCTCAGGCAAGAACTCAAGTTAAAGGCACATAATGAAGCAGCTAGAAAATAAAAGATAAATCACAAATCTGCAATCAAAGCATACCCTCAAGCCAAGGACTTTAGGAGTGGCTTTGACATAAGCACGTTCATCCAGAGCAAGTGTTGTTTTATGAATTGCAACTTTTGAGAGGGGTTGGTGCTCATCTGACATTGCTTGCTGAAAGGTTGCAAGAACAAGGAAAGAGAAAAATAGCACTTTTGACTTCCCCATCCCACTCACCATCACCTGAAAGTGAAATGCCCCCAAAATTAGATAAAAGAAATCAGTGACTGCAATACTAATCATTCAACTATAAATAAGAAAGCATTAACACTAAAATGGTAGTGATTGGGTGCCATAAAATCCGATACCAGTTCCCAAATGAAGAAAAAGTGAAAATCAACTTGGCATGGAATTTAAGTTGAATCAAATGAAGATGGATGCATGCAAAATGGAACTATAAGAAGCAGCTGTCACCTTCGGAGAAGAACAAACCAAGAGATGACAGCTGTTACCACTACAATACAAGAAATGATAAGTTAAAAAAAGGAAGAACATCGAAAGCTTATAACATCATCATTCGTAAATGGTTACTTAGAAAGAATACCATGTTTTATCTTATATGTAACTATCCAGTTTCGAATATCTGAGGATTATTCTCGTTGCTCTGATTTCAATGGGAATCCGAAAACCGAATCTTTTGACTTTATTTTACATTTTTACTCGTTGACTTAAGAATAATATTTTACTTATAGCAAGAGCAAGATAAATAATAGCATTATATTCTTCTTAACATAATTTTCCAAATATATTTTTATTATTACCTGAAATTAATTAAAAAATTATATTTTTTTGCAAGTCTTATTTCTCATATAATAAATTTTACTCACAATTTTATAATTTTAAATAAATTTTAATTGATAATAAAATTTTGCTAAAGAAATGTAGTAATATATAAATATAAATTACCGTTTCTCAGATAAATATATAACACTGACATGTTTTATTATAGGAAAATGATAGATAGATGCTCATTTAGTATAAATATGATATATGATATTATGTAGTTGGGAAACACAAAGATAACATGGGAACCTGTAATATTTTATTTATTTAGAATGTTTATGTCTCTTATTGTTTTATTATTTAAATTTAAATTGATTTAGTTTATATAATTTTAAAAAGAGTTTGTCTCTTGAAACTGAACCTTTTATGCTTTTTTGGCCATTTCATTGACTGCAAAAGTGGCTTCAAGAATTACCCATTCCTTTGGCTGATAGGTGAAAGCAAGTTGCCTAGATCTTACGGGATTTGCTGCTAATATGACATTCTTTAATAAGGACGCTTTAATAATGCAATTCCCTCCCTAATCATAGCTTTCGGGATTTTTATATCTTTAAAAGAATTCATTTCTAATTATTGATGTATAAATTTTGACAAAATTAGTAAAAACTAAATAATTAGATTCTTAACCATATTTATAAGAATTTAATTGCTACGATAAAAAATGGTACGTTTGGATAGGTTATTTTAAATGAGAAATGTAATTTAAACAGGAATTTGAAGTTTTCTTGATAATTTTTTTTTTATTGGAAAGAATTTAAAATTTTATGAATTCAAATTAGAATTTTAGTTAACTAAAATTATGGAATTTCAATTTCCATCACAAAAGAGAGAATTTTAAATTTTTTACCGTTTTTATTTCCTCTGTGTTAGATCAAGTCACCTCAAATCCTTAACGATTTGAAATTGTTTTCAACTTAATAATTCAATTGATATTTAAAACATTTTTATTATCTTAAAACTTTATTTAAAATATTTGTTTTATTTTATAAAATAATAAGCCTGATTGCTTAAAGTATTAATAATCTTATTTATATTAATAAAAATAATTATCAATAATGTTAATATTTTTAATGTTAAATAAAATAAAAAATGAATTTTAATTATTTTTAATAAATAATATAATTTATATTGAATAATTATTTTATTCCAAACAAAATATTTTATAAATAAAATAAATTTAATTATTTTATTTAAATAAAAAAGAATTTAGTTATATAATCAAAATAAAAAAAATGAAAATATATAAGTAGCTTATCCAAGCACAAAAATTTGAAAATAAAGAATTTTAATTTCTTTAACCAAAAGAAATTAAAATAAAAAAAATTCAATTAAAATTCCCAAAATTTAAAATTCTTTCAACTTTTAAAACCCTAAACTTTTAAAATTCTCTATTCAAACACAACCTTAATGATTTTTATGTCATGAAAGACTTAATTTTCCAATCATATTTATTAGTCTGGAGGGAGCATAATTTTTTGTTATTAAAATATGATAAGAATTAAATTTATTAGCATATTAATCAATGTCTATTAGTCAAGTTCTTGAAGGAGCATAATTCTTAATATAAGAATTTATTGACATATTAGCCCATGTTTATTAGCCAAAGTCTTAATAGAGCATATTTTTTTTATTAAAATATGATAAAGAATTACATTTATTAACATATTAGTGAATTGAATCATGTACTTGCAAAAATTAAAAGAAAAAAGTGTATCACAATGTTAAGTTGTTTTTTTAATGGGTAGAAAAAGGTGTATTTGGATTAGTCTAATTCAACCAGACCTACATAGATTATATGTTATTTTAGATTAAATTAACCTAATTTATATTTTTTTTGGATTGTTATTTTTTTGGTCAAACTTGGCTCATAGGATCAAATTGGATTAATTAAAAAATATATTAAAAAAATTAAATCTTTTTTTTATAATGAAAAAAATGTAACATGATTGATTGATATTATATATTGTCATGAAACACTTGGTTATTTTCTTATTTAATTAAAAATACTTTAATAAACTATTAAAGTGTTTCTACAACTGGATTTAAACTCAGGATTTAACATTTTATTCATTACTCAAACCTTTCTAGTTCAACAATTATATGGAAGATCATGCTTGATAATACACCTAGTAAGTGCATCTTTATGAGCCTTAGGATCAAATTTCTACTACTTGAGTAAACTAGCTTTATTATATAACACGATCCTTAATAGTCTTTATCAACACAAAAATGGTTTCTTGAATTTCTCCACTTAAATTAGGATAATTCAATACTAATTTCAAGAATAAAATAATTTGGGTATGAGTCTACCACAACATTAGTATGTATCAACTAAGTCTCTATAGAATTAACTCATTGTCTATTCTCCAAATATTATGCACATTTTTAACACTTAGTTAGGATTTTTGGTCCCTAAAATTATACCTTACTCATTGGCCATATCTCAAAAAGTATGGTTTGGTTTTAATCCCGTATTGTATTAACTAAGAACTTAGAAAAAATAACTTTTAAAACAACTTTCCACTTCAAGAGTCATTTCTCTTTTTAAGCTCTCACAGTACCACAACTCAAAATTCTCATAATGGGATTCTTTAACACAAAAGACAACTTACTCTCCTCTGGTTCTAAGTTCAACTTGGAAACCATATAATTTGAATTATCAACTTAGAAATTCAACGCAAGTTACAACTCAACCAACTTAGGCAGCATAGATTAAAAGCAACACTATACATCTTAAATCTTTGTCATCTTTGCATTATACATCATTGTGCTTTTTTTTTATTCTTCCACCAACTTACCACTTTTCAATACGTCATTAATTAATACCTTTTATCTTATTCTATTAACTTAAAAATATTAAACATCTTAATATAGATTCAACAACTCAATCAACATAACATCAACATAATACTATTCAATTCAAGTAATCGATAATTTATCATCATCAAACCACTCATATCAACTCACCCACTCTCCATTCTTATATTAAAATTAATTACATGTTTGAATATCATCTTATAGCATATCTCAACATAGGCAACACATGTTAAGTCCACACAATACTTCTTACTTAACTCAAAACTTAAAACCATCACATTATACACCATTCATCTCATAAATCTCTTATCATCACTAAAAATCATTAGGTACCATCAATCACAACTTTTATTAACAACTTGAACTATAGAAAAAATAAAACATCTAAAGTTATTCAAAAAAAATGAATTTTTTCTATACAAGAGTCTCGTCGAGTGAAAATTAGTTTCACTGGACACTTAAACCCCTTTGAAGCACCTTGCGCCCACTATGGCTCCTTGTTGAGCAAGTTTAGACTCATTGAGCAATCTTGACCCTTTATGGGTCTTCTCGCTCAATAGTCACCAATCATTGCGCAAACAAAACTCTTTGTGGGTCCTCTCAATGGACGAACTCTTGTGAGAGCCACCCACCAATTCATCTTCTTGCTAGGTGACACTATCATTTTGAGCAAAAAGATAAATCTAGGCAAATGTTCATCTTCCATGCATCCACCATGGAACTCATCTTCTCTAAACAAATTTGGCTATCACACTTCACTTTACCACATACAACTCATAAAATTCATTATCCACACCTCTTGGAACTCTAAATCAACAAAAATTTAACATGCAACAACAAGCACACTTAAATCAAGCCATTCTCAAACCTCCTTCACCACCAAACTTCACCACTCATAAACACCATTAAATTCAACTCAAATTGCCCCTAATGGGCAAGACAACACGGAAATCAACATAAACAACTAAAAAGGAATTAATCTACAAGTTTTCCTTACCTCAATTATAATTCCTAGGAGAAAAATCAAGGTAGAAAAAAAACCCCTCTACAACTCACATCAAAGCTCTCACAATTTTGATCCTCAAGAATCTCAACTCTACAATTTTCCATAAGCTTCAAGATTCACCAATCCCTAGCTTTAAGGAAGATTCACGACCTTAAAGTCAATCAAAAGCTTGAACTGTAGTTCAAAGTTCTTACAGATCGCCTCTCTAACTTCTCTCTAGAAATCAGTTCGAAGTTTTTAGAGATCATCTCTCTAACTCCTCTTTAAAAATCTTAATAAGTTATAAATTTATGAAAGTTTGTTTTCTCAAAATTCACCTTATATATATCAACCCTCATGAGGCCAATTTTCACACGTAAGCTACATCTTCTAAAACTTAAATATAGGTTTATTTCGACTTTAACTCTTGCCCAACACAAGCACAAACAACAAATAATGACTCAAAATAACATAAAACATTATTCTCAATTATATATATATATATATATATATATATATATATTACTCATATATATAAAATATATCACTAATATATATAATTTAAGAAAAATATGGTGTTACATTTTCCATAATAATAAATCTATATAAGAAATAATAATTACTATACAATTATATTAAAAAGTCATATTATTAAATAATTCAAACATAATCTCTTAAAAGCAAACACACATTATTTATTAAAAATAAATAAATATAACATTAATTTATTCAAATCCAAGTCATAAATATGATTAAGTAAAAATATAATTTGTATATTTATTTATTCATTCATTTAAGTAATATATATTATTTATTTATTTGTATTGATATTTGATTAAT